AATGTTCCAACTTATTTAACATTTACATTTTCTATATGTAAACAATTAGCTGACAACAAAAAAACTGCAGTTAAAGAGAAAATTATCTCTGCAAGTCATCTAGGAATCTTCACTGAAATCAGAGATAAATAACTACTTTAATAACAAGCAATCCATTTAATGTATGATTTATTACATGTAAATATGAATTTTATGCAGAATGATTATTAATAAAAGTAGGTAAGTAATGACAATAAATAAGATGTTCGCCCCAGAATTATGTCCACAACACAGCATGGATGTTTAAATATATATATGTATATTAGTTAGCAAAAGCTGTAGGAGAGTGTAGTTTGTCTTTATTTGGAAAATATGGATGTTGTGATTGTTCATTTTCCTTTTGGAACAGTGTAGATTGACCCTAAGGTTCTGGCACCATTCCACTTTTGGTCACCCCTCAGTGTCCATTGGTTTTTGCCTGGCCACCCTTTTTAAAACATTTCTGTGTACGCCTCTGCAAACAGCTCTGAACTGTTTGCCAATTAAAGCAAAATGATTTTGATTATCTATTAAGCGAAGGGAAATTAATGCTGCAGGATTGACAGCTGTCAAATAACCCTGCCAGCTTTTCCAATTCTCCTTTAAAACAGACTTCCTCTGTAGTATTTCACCATGATGCATGTCATAACTGGCATACTGAAGCACTTAGTGTTAAAGGGTGGGACTAAGGGGAGGGGGTGAAGTTATGATTGCAGAAAGGCTGCAGCATGGGGTGCAGACCGCATCACTGTGAAGTAGCAGCAGCTTCACCGGCTGGTTGACGTGTTCTTCAGCTGAAATCAGAGCCAAACATTCCTGCAGCTGCTACAGACCCCCCCACCCCTTCACCTAGACTCAAACCAATAACATAACCAGCACCTCCGACAGAATGACGACGATAAGGTGTTATGTTGCCCTGCTAAAGATGAAAGGAGGTCTAAATATTCATTTGGTCGCAGAGCTAGCCTGTGTTAGCCAGCAGTGGTCACAACAAAATGTTTTTACTCTGCCCTTACAATCAACACCAACGGTAGCTTTAAAGGCTACTTACCCCCCCGGTACCAAGTGAGCGGTGGAAATGGACAATTTCTCCCCCCAGTTGCGGAAAAGTAAAGTAGCGCCAAATCTGTGAGGCTACGGTCCCCAGCCAGCCTGCTGGTGTTGCAGCGTTTTCATCTCACAGCTTCATTAAAAGCTGCATTGTTGGAGCGACGGCAGCACAAATATCAGCGACTGCACGCGGCAAGGCATTATGGGAAAACGAGGTTGAGCCTTGCGATTAAATGGTGTGGTGGAAAGGCGGGGAAACGGCTCCCCCTGGTGGGCATTCTGAAGGCTTGTAGCCAAAACTCCAAAGAAAAAAATAGCAATCTTTTAAGATTGTAATCTTTTAAGATTGTATTATGACTTGATTGTTTGTTTTTGTGACACTTTTTGAATTCAGTCAGACTAGATGAGTGAAATATGAATCAAAAGGTCTGAATTTATTTATTATTATTGTATTTTTTTTAATAAATGTCATCAAGTTGTTGGGGTAACTGGCAATGATTCTTTTCAGTACCTGTGGAGTAAGTTTGGTCTACTCCTCTTTCCAGAGTTTCGGGGCATGTCATGAACTATAAACTAAATATAAATCCAGACTTTGTATTGGCATCCAATCCGTGCAGTTGCTTTTATGCTTTGGATTATCAATCACAACAGGCTTCCTCCTGTATAATGCCAAAGAATTTCCATGGCAGAGTAAGCAGAATACATGGAATCAATTTACAGTGAGTTGTTCAAGGTAAAGTAGTCCCATATCACTACGCTGCCACCACCATGTTGTTTGCTTAAAGATTATGAACGGATCCAGCTAGATGGACACTGTCCATCAACTTAAACCTTAGTCTTATTGGTTCTAAATAACATATCTGAGGGATCATTGACTTATTTCTCAGGAGGTGTAAATATGTAATGGGAACTTCTTACATATTTTTTCTGCTGTGAGTATATATATATATATATATATATATATGTATTTATATATAAAGCGACAGAGAGAGTGCAAGATTTTTTTGAAGTGTAAAAAGTTGCAATAACTGCTAAATAAGTGGGTATAATGTTATAATTGAAGAGTAGTGTTCTCTTACTAGAGAAAAATTATAAAATTAAAAATATTAGCTGTGCTAATTTTAAAAATCTTGAACATTATTAAAAAGGTCAGATTTTAAATATAAGGCTGACACCTATTGTGAATTGTATAAATGTAATCCGTTGCCATATTGCTATAAATTGTTGTCTGCTTCAGATGGGAATGGTTTACTCCGGAGGAAACCATGATGCCTTGATTACATAGAATAAAAATGATCTGACAGTCTAGAGAATTGCTGCTTTTTTTATTCTGCCAGATCTCGGTTTTTGCCAATGCAGAGCTTGCTCAGGTTTGCCAGCAGGTGATTCTGTGGACTGTCATTCACAGTGAATCATACACTGTAAGACGGGTGTCCAAAGTCAACCCTCAATGGTCAGTTTCCTGCATGTTTTATATGTTTTCCTGCTTTAAAACACCTGAATTAGATGATTGCAGTTCAACAAAAGTCTGTTAATCAGCCATATATGAAGTGCAGGTGTGAAAAGGCATAGAGAAAATCTGTCCTTCAGGACTGTAGTTGTACAGAAATGCATTAGGGAGATGATCTTAAGGCAAGATTGTCTCCATCAGCTGTTCAGTATAGCAGGGATCCAATTTTATTGTTTGTTTCATTCTTTATTCAGTTTGTGATTTGTATTGCACATTTGCTCCTTTTTGACATTTGAATATTTCAAAGTCTCCACCCTGGTGTCCTTCTTAAATTGCCATTGGAGAAGAGTGTTGTACAAAAAGGACAAGTCCCTGATCCAATTCCAAAGTTAGTCTTGTAAAATAATGATACACATATAGGGAAACTTGTAGAGTTGCTTTAAAATGCATCGTTTTATTCGTGTGCTTTGTAAAACCCACACATGCAAATGTAAACTAACATGATGATGCCCTCGCCAGAATTCAGATCAAGGCTCTTCTTGCTGCAAGGTAACAGTTAAGGGTGGACTGCAAGGTTTGAATGTTGGCATAGCTTAGAGGTAATTGCTAAGAAAATCCTTAAAAACATCTGACATGTTTTTCCTTGTTCTTCTGTTTACCTTTTATCCTAATGACATATTGAATGGATGACGGTAAAAATTATTTACTAAAAAATGTTCAATTACTTTGGATTTCTTTTCTATTTTTTCCTTCCTGACATAAAGATAAAATAAACTGAAATGTATCAATGTTCCCTTGTGAGACTGTTTATATGTTTGACCCAGTTTATGTTCTGCTAATATATTGTAAAGAATGAATCTCTGAAAAATGAAGACAATACAGAATAAAATAGGATTTTTTTTTGTTTACCATAAACGAAATTAATCAAATAACTGTGATAATTGATTAGAATAATCAGTATCATTATCAAATACAGGTTTGCATTTTATTGTAATATAGATGTTTTGTGGACGAGGGGAAAGCTTTTCACCCCTTCCAACAAGGTATTGTGTGGGGGTGCAGAGGGAGTATGGGGTGACTGGGTGGCTTTTAAGGGCTATTCAATCCTTATATACTGAAAGTGAGAGCTGTGTCCAGGCTGCTTCTCCACACTGATCCAGTTTGTTTGTTCACAGACAGGTGTAGTCATAGAGAGGGGGTTGACTGGTTTCGGAACCTTAGAATCTCATGTTTTGTTTGTTTTTCACTGACGATGTGCTCTATTAGCCCCTTCAGGGCCATGACATTTTGCATTCAGCTACATATGAAGCAGCCAGATGAGGATCAGTTCCTGTAAGTGTGAGGCCTCATTCTCTACCGGAAAAAGGTAGACTGCTCCCTCTGGGTTTGGGGTCAGTCTCTTTCTCAAGCCCAGAGCTTTAATTATTTTGGTGTCCTGTTCATGTGAGTGGTGAGATGGAACAGGAGATGAACAGACTGGAGCTTTGTCAGCAGTAATGTAACCACTTCTCTATTCTCAATAAAAGGAGTCTCTATCTGGAGTCCCAACCTCCTTGGTTGGGACTCCAGATAGAGCCACCTCTTAGCCTTGAGGCTTTCATGGAGGTTATGGCAGGTCCGGAACTCACTGGAGGGACTATGCAGTCATGCCTTAGAATGCATTTGGGTCTACACGAAGGAGCTCAAAAGGGAGAGGGATGTCTGGGTTTCCTGTGTTACCCTTTGATAAGTAGAGGAGAGTGGAATTTCTATCACACTTTTTATGTGAGACGAAGCTAATTTCTACATGATTCAAAATAACCATAGTTTCTTGTGGTTAGAGCAGTGCGCTTGTGCTCTGAGAGGGTTGCAAGTACCCGGTTTGATCCCTACAGCCTGCACTCTGGATCCCTGAGCAAGACCCTGCTCCGTTGCTGCTGCACAATGGCAGCTCACTGCTTCTCAAGGTAATGGGTTAATATGCAGAGAGTGAATTTCCCCATTGTGGGATTTACATTATTTTTTTATATTGATAATGACAAGGAACTATATATTAATATAATAAGAGTAATACAGAAATAATAAAAAAATTAAGTAGTATTAAAAATACAGTCATTTAATAAAAAAAATGAATTATGTCAAATATAGCACTATTATGGAAGAGGATTAGGGCCACTGAAAAAATGAAAAAAGTTAACTGATTTTTAAATTTTATTTCAGTTTATTATGGGTAAAAAAAAACTCAGCATTCTGAGATTAAAGTCAGAATTCTGAGGAAAAAAAAGTCCGAATTCTGACTTTTTTCCTATATTAAACAGAAATAAAATAAAAAAATCAGTTAACTTTTTTAATTTTTTTTTAGTAGCCCCTAATCGCCTTCCGCACAGTATTTACAAGATCGCATTAATACTTTTGGGATGGAGTTCTTCGAGCCTCCGTCCTGTTGGCGGCAGTAGTGAGTAGATCATGGATCGAACAAACCTATCCAGCGGTAGTAGAAACAGTCGCAGTGTGGGCAACATGGAGAAGAAACACATGTCTGCATTTGAGCTGTATAAAGCTCTGCAGCCAGATCTTCCCCCTCCGGCTAAGAAATCCTTTCAGCAGGTAAAGGTATGTTTACAGGCCGAGTTAATACCTGACTATAATATACACGTATGTGTTTCATCTACATGTCCATGTGTCTTCATATCATATGCACTGTTACTTTTTGAATGTTTTCCTTAACCTTTTCTCTTTAAATAAGGTGGAAGCAAAGAAGAAAAAGAAAAAAGTAAATGGGTCTGCAGTTACTAATGTCAAAAAGTCAAAGACAAATAAGAAGAAAATACGAAATAAGCTTTTGAAGGCAGCAAATAAAGAGGAGGGAAAGCCAGCTGGATCAAATAAACCTGTAAGGATCTGTTCGGGTTTAATCTGCTAATTTTAATTTAAGATATTATCGTTGAGTTTTTTTACGACTGAGTGTGTTTTTGTGAAAGCAGGAGGTGGAGGATGGGGATAAAGTAACAGGAGAGTCTCTGGATGCTTTGCTGGCTGAGCTGACCAGAGTCAACAACAGCAGAGAGAGAGCCAGCTTGTTATTCCAATGGCTGATCAGGCCTGTTCCTGCCAAGGCCTTCTTCAGGTAAACTTAATGGTTGTCTTCTCTTACTGTGGGAAAGGGTTAAAAAAGAAAAATAAATCCCCAAAGATACTCATATCCACTGTCTCTCAAGTTGTTACCACTTATTCGTTGCATTTTATTGTGACTTTTTTTATTATTTCTTAGACCTACATTAGTCTAAGAAAAAAATGGTGTGTAGATGTGATTTTTGTAACTGGCACATCTTTTTTCAAATAGTCGGCATGTAAGCCTAGAAAAAAAAGGCAACCCCACAGCATAATGCTGCCACCGCCTTTCAGATCATCAGATTCAGATGATCTGTTTTCGGCACTTATGGCGTTTTTACATGCTTTTCAGTTAAGCTTAGCTTTAATCCGGTCCAAATTCATCCATTTTTTGCTTTCATGCTTAATCACAAGTGGGGTCGCGAGGGGTGCTGGTGCCTATCTCCATCTGTGTATGGGGGTGAGGAGGGGTACACCCTGGACAGGTCACCAGTCCATCGCTGGGCGACACAGACACAAACAGGACAAACAACCATTCACACACACACCTAAGGGGAATTTAGAGAAGCCAATAAACCGAAGAGTCATGTTTTTGGACTGTGGGATGAAGCCGGAGCACCTGGAGAAAACCCACGCATGTTCAGGGAGAACATGCAAACTCCATGCAGAAAAACTTCGAAGTCATTTCTTCCATGTATTTGCATTATTAAGTAATGCAAAAAAAAAGTATTGGTGGGAGTGGCAGCCTAGTGGTTTGGAATCCTGAGGTTCTGGGTTTGAGCCCCACTCCCACAGACTGCCACTGTGAGTTTCTGAGCAAGGCTCCTAACCCCACATTACTCTTCACGTGCCCCACGATTGGAGCCCACTGCTCCCCAAGGGGATGGGTTAAATGCAGAGGTAAATTTCTTCCAATGTGAGCTCAATTAAGTTCAGTTATTATTATCATTAAGTACAGAGCTGTGCCTAAGTTGCCAATCATCATTCCATGCACCGTGTCAAAAAAAACCAAAAAAATCTGAAAATTAAACCAGAAATCCTGAACCTGAAAAGTAATTTAAAACATTTCTCTCCAGTTTTTAATCCTACTTTGCCGTATTTATTTTTTTTCCATTAAAAAAATATTTTTTATATATTTTTGAAAAACTTTCTATCAGTTGTTACAGTTGTATTATTTGCTCATAGATGTTTTGTTTTTGTTTAAACTGAGACTTAAGGAACATTTTTTGTTGATGCGTCGTAACTATCATGTAAAAGGAGAGAGAAAAAGCAAATTTGCTCCACGAATCGGCCCAAAAATATCAGTAGCATATCTATATATATGTCTATATGCAATCAGTTAGACTAACTTTAAAATTATTGGTATGGGCTTTAAAAACACTCGATCAGTAGATCTCTATTACACACCCTACGTACTAACCAGTGGATTACTTAGGGCAGTTATTGAAGTCATCGAATTTTTTTCGGGTTCACTTTAATGGGACCAGAATAAAACCTACAGAAAAATCAATATGTAGAGTGTTTATACTTTTCAAAGCACGTTAGAGGATCTTTCTTCTGTTCATCCAGATGATGTTTTACTGGATCTAAACTGAAGAAGGTTTAATTGATCATAATAAAGCATGCACTTTATTACGATAAATGTTCCACTCCTAAGCATTTTATTTTTTATTCTATGGCATAAACATTGTGAGAGGATTTGGTCAAGAGTTTAGATTTACCTGCAGCAGGAGTGTGTGTGTGTCATAAAGTGCTGTGATATGCAGTGACCGGCCTCTGCACGCTTGTCCTCATGTTCCTGCCCAGTGCTTGCATTTATGGAAAGCACAGTGCGTTCTGTTAGCTTTTTGTCATAGTCAGCATTTATATTTTCAGCTGTTTGTCCTACAGTTGCTCTTATTGGGATCATATCAGATGGACCTGCATTTGTTCCCCCCCACACACACACACAATCAGTGGAGCCTTGAGGGCTTTTAATGTTGGTTATTTGCAAACTTGTGAAATGCCCTTTTTTAAATGCTTACTGTGGAAAATATGTATTTTATGAATACAGAATGATTAACTTATAAAACTGTATTTTTTCTTTGCTTGGACTCCAAATCTCAGAAATTGTTTGTTTTGCTTACCTTTGTTTTTCTCTTTGTGAAGTGAAACATGGGAGAAGAAGCCTGTCTTTGTCCCACGCAAGAATCCAGATTACTATAAGGGACTGTTTTCTACAGCTGAGTTTGACCGTATATTGAGAGAGGTAATGTTCTGTTCAGTTTCTATTGGTCACCAAAGATTGGTGATCAGTTGGTTAAATGTTAAAATATCTGATTTGTTTTAAGTTAAGTAATATCCTAAAACTTAAATGTTTTGCTTTTTTCAGGTTTTAACAAAAAAAACATTCTAAGAATTTACTTATTTGCACTTTAAAAAAACAATCAAGATATTCACTGATATGTGATTTCACACATATATGGCAATAATCCCCAGGGCTTGTCACACAGTTGGAAGAATACTTAATTTTAAGTCACCGAAAATCTAACCATCTTCGAGATTTGGATAGGAATCGAAGAAGAAAAACTTTTTCTTTTTTTTTACATTTCATATGCCAGTATCAAAATGTCTGTTTGTGTTTTTCCTCCATGGGGCTATTGAGAACTTTCTGTCCTAAACTTTGATTATTCTAATTGATTACTGAATTGATCACCAACTAATAATCAAGAAGTTGTTAACTGAAGTAAACAGACTCTTAAAAATCTCATCTGTCTTAAGGATGACCCAAACACAGCAGTTAATAAGCCACATTATAGATAGGTGGATGGATGCTCAAAAAACATAGTTATAGAGTTAAATTGGGAAAAAATACATCAATTAAATAAATGTTAGCAGTAATTAAATTATGATGTGTAGAATAAATGTATGCATATATTTTGATTGGCTTATTTATTAATCTTTATAAAAAAATACTTTATTACATATAATTTTCAGCTTTATTATTTAATTCCTTGTGTTTTACATGTATTTATTCTTGCATAAACTTTTATCCTCTTGCTCCTCTATACTGTTATAGTCAACCTTTGTTGTAACTATTTACAGCAGTATGCTAATATGATATAAACCAGTAGTTGGTTTTAATTAGGTCAGAGTTAGATGGATAGATTGAAAGAAGTTATTATTTAAGATGAAAAACGTCCTTCTCTAAAAATGAGCTCCATCCAGAAACCACATTTAGAACCGTTTAAGCTTCACCTTGTTTTAATTCTGTAGAAGATCTGCTATTTAGCAGATTTTGCCATCCAATTATTTATTAGTTGATTTAAAAGATGAACATATTAGTAAGATGATTTTTAATTGGACATTTTTCCTAGAAAAGCTTGACATAGATTTGTATGTATATGGATAATACATCTTGTAATCCCTCAGTGTATTCATAACTAATACGTCCCTTAAACGACCTGCAGCAGCTAAGCTTTAATTGCTGTACTTAAACAAAGTGAATACCTTTAGTTCTGAGAAAAAAACTGATCAGTCACCTGTATATGAAACCATGAAACTGAATTATTAAATGGAAAATATAAAAAAAAAGTTTGTTGCTTTCTATTGTTTTCATTTAAAAGGATTGTTTTCATCATAAACAAATATCTTGAATAAGATAAGATAAGATAATCCTTTATTTGTCCCACAGTGGGGAAATTGCAGCGTTGCATCACAGTACAGTAGGAAAAAAGAAGAAGAAGAAGAAGAATACAAAGTATAAAAATATATATATATATATATATATATACACACACACACACATTAAGTATATACAGACAGACAAGGCAATAGCCACTCAAACATGACAATAAAATATCAAAAACATAATCTCTAGATTTATTGCATCCCAATTTGTGATTTTTGGTTCTGCAAACTGAATCTTTTTTTCCCTTATACTTTTTTGAAGGAGAATGTTCAGTATGGCGTGAACCTGGATATCACCAGCTATGTTAACGGCAAGAGGGAAACACACAACCCACCAGGGAGAGCTCTGCCATTCACAGTGTGGGACTTTTATGAGGTAAGAAAGGAACACTGGTTTTTATACTTGTTTGGTTAAAGTGCAATTCGTTTTATTGCAAATCTACCAGGATTTTGTAGCTGCATTCTCTAAGGAATGTTTAGACTCAGAGTCTGGTTCTGCTGGAGGTTTTTCCCTGCTAAAAGGGAGTTTTTCCTCTCCACTGTCGCTAAATGCATGCACAGACATCCCAAGTTCTAAAAGCTCATTTCAGGGCTCTCTCTTGTTCTGCCTGCGCAATCATAGTAGTTCTAATCCACACATGGTGCATGTATTATTCTATTATCTGCACGCTCTCACTTGCATTAAAAAAACACCACCTGGCATAGTCCAAAATCCAGGATAATTGATCCGACTCGCTGCCATCCATGAATAACTATCTATATCAGGGAGACTGCTGGAACTTCCAGGAGACTTGGGATGTCTGCAAAGAGTCGATGCAGATAGAAAACTTTGAATCACTTTGACTGTATGATCTGGTGAACTGTAAAGTGCCTTGAGATGACATGTGTTGTGAATTGACGCTTTGTAAATAAACTGAATTGAGTTATAGAATGAGACAAACTTGTCATTTTGTATACATCGAGTGTATACAAAACGAAATGACGTTGCTTACAGCTTCCAATTGTGAAATGAACATTACCATTTAAAGTGCAGCAGTGGTCATCATGTAAACAGTATAGGGGGAAAAGGAAAACCAGTTTTAAAAACTAATGGTGCAAAAGGGAAAGGTTCTGTGCAGTGCAAAATAAATATGGTGCAAAACGCAGTATAACACAGAGTTGTCTTATTTAATTTATTTAGGTCAAATTTATAGGTTACTTTCTGCAGTTTTGCTGTTAATTACTCATTTTACACCTCTTTTCCTGTAGAGTGGCTGCTCTGTCCGCCTGCTGAATCCTCAGGCTTTCTGCTCCACTGTGTGGAATGTGCTGTCCATCCTCCAGGAGCAGTTTGGTAGCATGGCAGGAGCCAATGTGTAAGTTTATGGGAGAATGTTCAGCCACATCCATCTTCTTTCTTTTCTTTCTCAGTTTAAGTGCATGTTCCTTTAACCAGATATCTGACGCCGCCTGGAACCCAAGGCTTCGCTCCACATTATGACGACATTGAAGCTTTTGTGGTTCAGCTGGAAGGGAAGAAGCACTGGCGAGTGTACAATCCGAGGTAAAATTAAGCAAAGGTCAAAGCACAAACTTAATGAAAAGTCTGTTTTTTTTTTGTTTTTGTTTTTATAAAATATATAATAAGAATTTATTTTTTCTACTTTATAATTTCGCACTACTATCTTAATAAATGTTTAAAATGTATATGAGGCAGCAGCCGTCGATATTTTGGGTTGTTGACTTAATTTCTGGTATAGATCAATTGAAACAAAAATGTGATGGTTATAATTAATGCTTTTTATTTTTTAATTTTGGACATCTTTAGGTCAGAAGAGGAAGTCCTGCCTGTGCTTTCAAGTCGTGAGTGTCAGCAAGTCTTTATATAAGTTTTGTTTTTTTCTATTGCTATTTTTATTAAAAGATAAGCTCATTTTGTACTATTAAATAAGTAGTTTAATTATCTTAAGTTAAACCTTTTAACTCAATAAATGCTAAACTAATTAGAAAATAAGATATTTGAAATAAAATTGCCCTGCTGCTTATTGTATAATTTTTGCAGGATGTTTGACATTGAAGCTGATGAAAATATATCAGATTGTTCTGTTTTCTCCCTTTCAGCAAACTTCGACCAGGCAGAGATCGGGAAGCCCATCTTGGACGTGGTGCTGGAAGCAGGTGATCTCCTCTACTTTCCTCGAGGATTCATCCATCAGGGCAACTGCTTACCCGATGCACACTCTCTCCACATCACAATCTCTTCTTACCAGAAAAACAGCTGGGGGGACCTGCTGCAGAAGGTAAATGCATGGCTACGTTATGGTTTTGCGGGTAAAAGCCTTTAACTGAAAAAACTTTAAGCTATATAGAAGAAGAAAAAAATTACATTTGAAAAAAAAACTGTCTTAATGCTTTTTTTTTTATTGTGGATTAAGGTATTTTATTGGTATTAATGTTCTGTGTTCATGTTTAGGTCATTCCTGCAGCATTAGGGGTGGCGATGGAGGAAGATGTGGCGTTTAGACGAGGTTTACCTTTGGACTACCTGACCTACATGGGAGTGCAAAATTCAGACAAGGTTCTTATTATGGATATTTTTATATAAACATATTTCAGTTTTTTGTTTTGTTTTTTTCATATAGGACTCCTCCGCTCACTGACCTTGTTCCCCAACTATTAAGCTTCTGAATGTTCACTATCAATAATTAGTGTTGTGCACCCAGTTGTACCTACATTTCAACTAGCTAACCATTTTTGCTGAAGTTTCAAACGTTTTATTCCTATAACTTCAAGCAAAAGAGCAGACGCTTGGCATGCAACCACCACCATGTTGGAAAGCTTTTAAATTTTTCCCAAGTTGAAAAACATTCCACTTGAGAAGCTGCAGATTTATTTTAAAGTTGTCTAATGCACTTCTTATCTAAACATAAAAAACAAATAATTAAAAAATGAATGTTGGAACTGTAAATATACAGTCATGTGTTTATATTATATGTATTTATTACTGTTTTTCAAGGCTGCACTTTAAAAAATGAGATTGTCTAGAGCTGTTTTAAACTAAATTTCTTTTTGTATACATTTGTGTATAAAAAATTACAAAATAAATCTAAGTCTAATTAAGCTTCTGGAAGCTCAACTATATTACAAATCTATACATAAAAGCATGTCTGTAAACTCTGCCAGTTGTTCCTAAATGACTGGTAATGTGGCTGCATATCACCTGATCTGAAATCCACCTTAATATATTTTTTCTTTCCTCTTCAAATAATTGCAATCACATGCTGTACAATCATTCCACCATTTAAAAAGGTTCAAATAAATATAAAGCCCCAAATCAGGGACATGTTCACAATAAGTTAATACTAACTATCCATCCAAACTTCAAAATCTAATGAGGGAAATGGTTTTGTGCAGGAGGATCCACGGAGGGCAAAATTCTTGTCCCGGATTGAAAGTTTGATGAAAAAACTGCCAAATTATGCCCCAGTGGATGCTGCCGTCGACCAGAAGGCCAAAGAAGTCCTCCATGATTGTTTGCCTCCTGTCCTGACTCCAAGTATGTGATGTATATTCTGAAAGTGTCCATGGATAGAGATAGACACTTTGAAGTTATGATTGATCTCATTGCTCTTAGATGAGCTGGCAACCAGTGTGCAAGGAGCAGCAACCAGATGGGCAGACGGTACAGTGAAGGATGTGGGTGTCCTTATTACTACCAAGACCCAAATAAAAATTATCCGTGCAATGTGTGCAAGGTAAAACTGAAAAAAACTAGAACATTTTCTTTTCCCGTGTTTGTTTGGCTAGATGGTTTAATCTGATCTGTTTGTGGCAGACTATGCAGTGACGGAGATGCCGTGCACATTTGCTACACCACAGATAACTCCAGAGTTTACCACAAAGAGGAGCTCCAGAGCTTTGAAATACAAACAGAGGTAATTTCTTTTTTTCTTATTTGAAACTTTCTTTTGCATTTTTCTTATGCAATTGACCTATTTTTTTTTATACATTTATCTCAGCACACAGATGCCGTAGAGTTTCTGATTCACTCCTACCCCAAATTTGTGACCGTGGAAAGTTTGCCGTGTGATTCTGTTCAGGACAAGGTAGGTTTATACGTTCAAAACTTGGTAACTATTTTTAATGGCAGTGATCTATTTTTGTGGAATTAATGATCAATGTTTTTTGCCCTTCCCTCCCAGATTGCTTTGGCAGAACTCCTTTTTGAGAAGGGGATCATCCACACTGCTGAACCTCTTAAATCACCACCAACTGTTCATTCACACTGACCACATAAAAATAAATGTTGTTCTGAACAAGATCTCCAGCTTGAAACTCTTAATTTGAATTTATTTATTTATTCATTCATTCATTATTTACCCCATGTTCAGTTTAAACTGCATTTCTTTCTCATAAAAACACACCAGTAAGTAAAAAGTAGTTCTAGAGAACAGACATTTTTATTTTTTGGTTGATACAACACAAAAGCAGGAGTACAGGAGTCTCCTTAAATATGTCAACTTGAGATCCACTCATCATTCATTCACAACTTCACAAGCGAGGAAGCTTCTACCTCCAGGTCACCTCCTCCCCAGGTTTCAACTCTCTGCAGAGGAGAAAACATATTACATATGACTAAATAAAGCCTGCATTCTTACAATTAACTTGAATTAAAATACAGATTATCAGAAGTTATGATCAAAAATGGAACCCTAAAAATAAGGAGACATAATTTATTTTCTTACCTACTGTACAAAGCACTCTTGTTTCTGAAAGCTGTCAGCTTCTTATCCTGTTGTTTGTCAAGGTACCATCCAATGACAAAGCCCATGGGAACCAATATGTGTGCCCAATTCACACTGGTGGGTAATGCAAATCTGACCATTGTTCCTACAACCAAAAGAAGGAAAAAATAGACACTTATCTTTAATATCGCTGTTTAGAAGGAATTTTTTTTTTTTTTAGTTTAATGAAAACATTTTCTGCCAAATAAAAAAATAATCTTAATGTGTTTTCATTCCATTTAGTCACAAGAACAAGTTGTAGTCAAAATGTTCATTCAATTCTGCTGAAATCTCATTCTAAAAATGCCAAAATAATGCTGACCAGTAGAGCAGTGTCCAAGGTACAGGTGTCAAAGTCGAGGCCAGCGGGCCAAATGTGGCCTGCCTTACCTTAACCAACAAGCGAAAAAACAAAACAAAAAGCTTGTCTGTCAAACCAATCCCACAGACAAAATAAGCTGGGGAACCTAAAAACATGACCAATAACTGGTTGCAAACTGAGACTCTTTCTTGTTGGGACGTATGATAAGACTTAATCTCATTTTCCTTCAATTGATTTATTTTTTCTGTGCTTGAGATGACAAGTTTGTTGACATGTGCATCATCAGGAAAATTGTTTATTTCAGGTTCAAATTGTTAGTCTTGAGCTCTATGTTCTTATTTTTATGTTTAGCAATGTATTTAGTGCACCACATGCAAGGCCGTGTGCAGCCATTTTTATTTTATGTTAGCAGTTCACAATTGTTGGTTTTACAGCAGTTATGCCCCATCTCAAGTAATAAATTCAAAGTTATATAACATTAGGGAGTAGTTACATTTATTTTAGATTAGCTTACATTTAGTTGTATTTATAAGTTACATCTGGCCCTTCGATGGCAGCCATTATGATGATGTGGCCCCTGGTGAAAACCATTTCAACACCCCTGGTCTAAGGGAGCCAGCAGTTTCCAACAAATTCTCTGCAGCATCTTTTGACAACAGAGTGAAACATTTTCCTTCTAAAGAGGACTGAGTAATTACTGCCAGGCAAAAACAATCTGAAATGTATGGAAATATGTTGTTTACTGCCATTTGGATGAGGAATACAATCATGAAATAGCAAACACATAACTCCTATCCATTTCACACTCCAAATTTAAAATCCAATGTAATACACAGATATGAGAGGATTGCTGTGAATTAATCAAAGGGAGAAATACCAAAATTTCTATTAAGTTTTTTCCTCATTAAGAAATCTAAAAATGTTCACAGATGTATCAAATAAAACTGGAAATTGTGGATAGGTAAATGGGGCAGGATTTAACTTAAGCCAGTTTATTCGCCTGTTTATCATCTACAGTAGTTTAACCCTAACTTATTTGTATTAACAATGTTCGAGTTTCTATAGAAAATTATACTAAACTCATCTCTAGACTATTTTATAGTGATAGACAACAGCAGATCAACCCTATTTATAATTTAAATCTATGACTAGCCCCTACATAACCAATATAAAGCTGTTTAACATTATCCATCACCTAAATCCAGCAAAGTCTTGTGTTTCTTGTGTGTTTTATACATTTAAATTTGTCCAGTGTATAACGATACGAGTATACTGCTGTCATCTTCTATTATACGAGTTCACTCAGTGCTAACAAGGTAGCTTACTAGCGTTAGCAGCTAACGCCATATTTTAGCAAGCTTTAGGTTCTTTGCATGAATACTTACTTAGGTCATTCCCTTACAACCATTCGAACGCAAAAAACAAATGGCAACAGGACAGAAGATGAAGAATTTCAAACAAATACCTTCTGTTAACACCAAGCTGTGGCCTTCAGTGCCTCCCTCTCTTAGCGAAGGACATTGGACTAAACCAACCTTCGAATTTCTAAAGATGTGTTTATGCTTAATGATAAGTTGCATCACGGCAATTCAAAACAATACACGAAAAATATACAAGTAAAGCATATTTATTTTAAATAGAATTATCTAAAATTGTTCAGAAAATGTCCCATTTACCGAGTTTTTTGGAGTCTTTTTTTTACCCAGGTTTTGTAGCTTTTGTGGTACGTTCCTATAACCTTTCACCCCTTGACGTAGAAGCCAACATGGCGGCATCAAACCCGCTATCGAAAAACTCTTGACGTTGTTTTATTAATAAACAATAACTTTAAGGTTACTTTCTTCTCATCTAGTGAGAAATTAATTTAGTGTATGTTCTGTGATTTTTGGAATGTCCCCGGACTCATATTTATTACCAACGCTAACGGGAGCTAGCATGCTAAGTAGACGTTGCCTGGTAATCGGCTAACAAACGTCACAGGCAAGCAAGGGGTCTTTGTTTTTCTATTTTGTCCTATTTATTTAGGCAAATCAACTATTAAAGCAGGTTCTATGAGGACGGGTTTGTGCTTTAGTCGAGAGAACTGAAGAGAAAATGACATCTATCATTAAACTGACCGCCGTATCGGGGGTCCAGGAGGAATCGGCCCTCTGTTATCTGCTGCAGGTGGATGAATTTCGCTTCCTACTGGACTGTGGATGGGACGAGAATTTCTCAATGGACATTATAGATGCCATGAAGCGGTTAGTATGATTATTTAGTAAGATTTCAGAGGTTACCTAGAGAGCTTAACAGTAGGTTAACATCACACCTTTGATCTTTCTGTCAGTACTTAGTAAAATTATCTTGAAAACAAATTTTATCCTCCAAAGTTGTAGGGAAGTTGGAAAAGAAATCAACAAAAAACATAGTGTATTTCCATATAATACTGATATTTGATTTAAAAAAATACTATTGATCACCAAGGGAAATTTGGTTAAGTTCTTTATATCGTTTTTCTAGCCCACTACATAGACTAAGTTATAAATCATGTTGTGACAGTATCCCTCTCTTTCAGGGTTTTGTTTTTAAATAAATG